GCCGTTCTTTGCGCAGGCGATCCTCTTCCTCACGGAGCGCAAGTGCCGCTCGCCGGGCCTCTTCCTCTTGTCGCAGCTGTTCTCGACGCACTCGGTCTTCCTCTTCCCGGCGCGCCTCGTCCTCGCGTCTCTGTTGTTCTCGGCGACGCTCGGCCTCCTCGTCCAGTCGCTCCTGCTCCTTGCGTCGCTCACGGAGGTCCTTCTCGGCCTGCTCTTGTGTCAAGTTGAAGCGAACATTGCTAGACGCGGACGGCGGTCGGCTCGGAGGTCGGTCGGGGTGTTTCATCGCAGAAACTGCTGCAAATCCGGCAGTCGCTGCAAGTCCAGCAATAGAGGCATCTCGCCTCCATGAGGAGCTTTGGATGGGAGAAGAGTTTGCCCGACGGAATTGAGGATGCTGAGGACTTTGGATAATAATGTTCTGAACTTGAGACTGCGTGGGATAAGGAGGTGGGAAAGGTGCTGGTGGGAAGTCTGAAGGACCTGCTGTGGTGTACCCAGATTGTGATGGTGCCTGTGTTGAGTAGATGGCGCCGGGGACTTGCTGCACTGGCTGAGGGTGTTGAATGGGGATGGGACCAGGTCCTGAGGTGACAATAGGCTGATTGGTGACGATAGAGCTTGTACGGCGTGCATCGAACGACGCATTGGGGTCATGGGGTGCAACAGGATAGACCGACTGCAATGTTTGAGCGCTGCTAGACTCGCTGTCGTGGTGTCCATGGGCAGCTCCAACAGCTGCGCCAGTCAAGGCACCTGCTGCGCCAGCTGCGGCAGGCCCAATGAGCGATGTACTAGCGATGTTGTCGTAGAGGTTGTTGGAAGACCTTCTCTTCTTGCCAAAGCCCCATCGCCAGCCCCACTTGTTCGTACCTGAGTGGTTGGATCCGATAGACTCGTTGCTCTTGGTCTTCTTCAGGGAGTAATCACCGTATACGAGACCGCCATCACTCGAAGAGTCGGAAGTACCGTCGTCTGGCAAGTCCTCCCACTCGTCGTCTCCGTAACGTGAGGCGGGCCGCGAAGTTTGACTGGTCTTGCGACCAAGACGGTTCTCCTTAACAGCAACGACCTCGTTGTGGCGTTTGCCCTTGCCAGCCTTCGCAGCTGTGATAGCAGCAGCCGTAGCGCCAAGACCAAGTAGCGAAGCTTTCAGTCGCTCATCCGAGTTTCGTCTCTTCGGCGACGATCGTCTGCGCGTCCTCCTTACGTAGCCGGTGCCGAATGCCATCTCGGAGTCGGATGACGACGTTGAAGCGTTGCTGAAGCTGAAGAAGCCCTTCTTCTTCTTTTTCAGGCTATTGGCTGTCTTCACTCGCTTCTCCTTCGGTGGAGGTGCAGAGAAGAAGCCTCCAAGGAAGCCACCCTGGGACTCGTGATTCTGGCCAATCTCGATGACAGAGGCTCCGGATGTTGAGCTTCGGGATGCTTTGTGTCGGAGTGAATGCGATCTTCTCCTGCGACGCTCATCGTCACTGCTGTCTCTGCGGTGATGAACCACTTGGACCCTCTTCGGGGACCTGGATCGGCTGTGCTGCTTCTTCTTTGTGGCCGCTCCAAGGGCGACTCCTGCAAGACCTGCACCAATGGCAGTGCCGATCAGGCCTGTCTTGCCGCGTCCTGAGTTGGAGCTTGAAGTTGAGCTTGATCGAGAACGGCGCGACCGAGACTGGCGGCGAACAACCTTGTGGTCCTTACGGTCCTTCTTGTCGCTCGTAACGCCTACGGACATCACGGAAATGCGGTCGGCGGAATTGCTCCGGTGGCGGATGCCAGAGCTACCATAGCTGTAACTCTTGCGATCCCCTGATCTGCTGCGGCTGTGTCGTGAGACCCTCGACCGACCGGACTTGATGCTGTATGTGTCGTCAAAGTCGTCGCGACCCGCGCTGAAGACAGCCTTTCCAGCCTTGGCAAGGCCCATGCCGCCCAGGCCTGCAGCTACCCAGCCCGCGGCACTACTCTTGTTCTTGCGACGCTCTTCACCCGAGGAGATTGAGCCCCAAGACTTCTTCTCCTTGAGCGAGTATCGAGATTGCTTCTCAATGCCACCAGTGGGTCGCATAAACTCATTAGATCGCCGTTTGTAGTAGTGGTGCTTTCGTGGGGCGTCCAGAACGGAAGAGCGAGGGTCAAAGCAGCCCTTGCAAACTCCAATGTACTCGGTGTACTCTTCCATCTTCTGCACATCTTCGTAGTCTTTCCACCAGTCGACAAACTTGGAAACAGGCCCAGTGTGCTGATGCTGGTGAGCCATGCCGCCTGAGATGTATGGACTTGGTGTAAGGTCATTGTGGTGATGTCCGTTCGGACCGTGCGTCGACGGGTGATGGTGTGTGCTGTGCGAGTGTGTGTGGGTGTTGGAGTGGGTGTGTGAATGTGAATTATGTTGGTTTAAGCCATAAGCCGCCAGTCCAGCGGCGCCAGCAGCGTACAGTCCAGCCATGCTGCCAGACGAGTGCTTCTCTGGCTTGGCTGGCCGAGGTGGCTTTGGGGGAGGCGCGCCTTCCACGCCGTAGGCGGCGGCTGCAGCATAGGGTGGGAGGTAGCTGCCGTCGTTGGCAGCGGTATTAGAAGCATTAGATCCCGGGCCGTACATGTTGTACGTGGAAGCCGGAGCAGCCGGGGGGGTATTATTAGTATAAGAAGAGTATGATGTAGAAGGGCGAACATTCGATGAGCTGTAGCTCGTGGTGTGTTCATGATTAGAAGAGCTGTGGCCCATGGCATATCCCAGGGCAGCTCCGCCGGCTGCAGTAGCAGCTGGGCCGAAGGTGCTCGACTTGTTGGGTCTCGATGAAGACGCGGGTCGCGGTGGCTTCTGGGGCGTCGAGGTGTCGTCGACGAAGGCACCGGGCATGGACGAGCTCGATGGTCGTGGAGGTCTGGATGAAGAGCCATTTGTGCTGGGCCCGTAGAAGTCTGCAGCGGCGCCCGATCCGGTGTCGGCAACCGGGTTGGGCTGCGCGGAGGCAGACATGAGATGGGGGGTATCCTGTCCTATGATGACAGAGGGCGGCTGGGGCCTCACGCCAGGCTGCTGGTGCACTGACTGGCCCTGGTCGTTGTAGAAGTCGGCAGCCGCTCCAAATGGATGGCCGCCAGGGAGCGCGCTCGAGGTGTATCGCAGAGGGTCCTGGCCGGGGAACTGGCTCTGCACGTGATCGTCCATGTCGTCGGGGTGTGGTGGGTGGCTTCCTACTGGCAGAGCGCCCGACATCATGGGCGCTCCTGCCTGTCCTGGGAACTGCGAGAAGCCGTCGCTGCCAATCTGGCCACTGAAGCTGCGCTGGACCGACTTGGGACTGTCAACAATCTCGCCCCTGTAGCCGGCGCCCGTTTGCGACGTGCTGCCGGACCGCACTGAGCGCGTCGAGCGGCGCTTCTCGAGCTTCTTGTCCTTGGCCTTGCCCGTCTTGCGGTCCTTGTCGTCGCGCAGTGTCGAGCTGGACGACTCGGCATAGCTGCTGCGGCGATCGTCGCGACGCATGTTGTCGTCGTCGTAGGGACCGCTCGTGTTGTTTGTTGTGGCCCGTGAGCGCGGCATCTCGTCGAAGGCAGTCGTGAAGGAGGCAATCGAGGACGCGGAAGGCGCAGTGTCACGTTTAGATGAGGTCGATGTCGATGGCTTGCGCGTCGTCGAGGATGACACGACGGAGCGGGCGTCTGGGTCGCGCTTGGAACGCGTGGAGTCGCTAGTACGGCGGCGGCGACTTTCCTCGTCCTTGTTGCTGTTGGAGGCAGCAGAGCTACCGGTCAATCTGCTCCACATGATGGCGCAGGACTGCAGTCAGGATCGCGGGGGCGCGGATGCGTTGTTATTACAAAGTGGTGCTGGCAATGGGTCGGGCGCAAATGAGATGAGTCTCTTGGTGGGATATGCTGGGTATATCGCTGCAGACAGTCGCAAGTGAGAGAGAATCGTTCAAATCGTCATGTCGTGATGATATAGTACAGGTTTCCGATGCAGAATGGCTAGGAAAGTATGCGCGCAATGCCCAAGGACAACCAAAGCAGCCTCTCGCGGTACTAATCGCAAAGATTGGTGTGGTGCAGAGCAGCTGAAGTGCTCGGCTTGGGACGTAAGCCCCAGCAACCGAGTGAGTTGGCGGCAAGGGTTAGCTCGATCCACACGGGATGGAGGCGAGGCTGGGCCAATAGCTGCCCGATGGCAAACGCTTCTTCTGCGGATCTTTACCGGGGCTTCTTCCGGGGCTGTTCTCGCTGTCATCGAGAACATGTTGATCAAAGTGAACTGTGCAGGCTGGGGCGCGGCAATCTAGTCTTGTGGTTCTGGTAGGTAGTAGTAGCTCTTGCTGCGTGTTGCGAGCTCCTCCCACGACCTTCACCGGACACAGTCAAGGCGCGCGGAGATTTCCGAGGCCATCAGTGTAGTTATCTTGCATGTTCAATGTTGGTTAGGCCGCCGAAATCTTTAAACCCGATCGTTGATAGTCAAACATCACCCAGTCGCATCGACAAGGATTACAACAAAAACAAGGCGCGCGTGTGACATTGAATCCATTTTTGCATTAATCAGGCTTGTGCGACCTGTGTGCATCTATTCGCGACTGTGCTATGCAGTCCTTCTGAGGAGCCACTCATTACACTCCACATGTTCCTTCACGTTTCTGCACGTCCAATCCATCATCATCTGCATAGCCTGAGTCATCCGATTCGAATCCAGAGTCTGATGATGCATCCAAATCACGACTCATCATTTCCCAGGTCTCGCTTTCTTCTGGGAGAGTTTTCAAGCTGTACAAGCCATATGAGAACATCGCTTCTTTTAAGCACTGCGCCCTGGAGCAGCGATCGGGGTATTTCATGATTTCCAGTAAGCTCCGTGCGATGAGATCAGGTTGTGTTGTGCTCTGTCCTACGTCGCGTAGTATGCACCAAAGGACCTCCGCGCCCCGCTCGTGGAACAAGCGGTCTCTCATAGCAAGACCAAGGCCAACTTTCCGCTTCTTATGAAGCTGCTCGAAGTCTCGGCGCAACTAGGGCCGCCCACCAGCCATCAACATCTGCCGTATTTGCAGGATTTGGGCGCGGTGCTCTGGTGCCAACTGGTCAATCTGCTGCTGCGACAGCGCCATGACTTGAGCATACAGCGCCTGCTGGTCCATTCCAGGCGCTTGTGGTTGCTGTTGCGGTGGAGGCTGCGCGTACGGCTGCGCGACGGGTGGCTGAGTTTGGGGAGGTGTAGGCGCGACTTGTGGTGGGTATCCGGGGTAGTTCACAGGCGGTCGCGCAACTTGCGGTGGTGGCTGCTGTACTTGCTGAACAGGTGGAGCCTGCGCAACTGGGGCAGGCGCGGCCGATGTCTCCACAAGCGAGGTCAGGATTTGTGGGTCGACCAGCTGGAGGAGCAGTAGCGACTGAAAGATGGCATAAGCCAGCTGAGGCGCTTGTCGCAGCAACTCGGTCGCCTTGGCGGGATCCGTCATGACAAGGCCTTTCATCTGCGAGAGGATATCGAGGAGTTGATCGGGAGGGAGTGTAGAGAGCGTGCGCGAGATGGCATCGGGGCATGTAAGGTTGGGCGGCAGCTCGACGCCTGGTGGAAGAGGACCCAGCGCGCTCGACGGTTGCGCCGGTGCTGGTGCTGCTGGTTGTTGGCCGTTCATGGCTGGCTGTGTGGTCTGGTCGCGATTGGAAGGCGCGTTGTCGCCGGAGCCGCTCTCGTTGGACCAGTCGACCCTCAGCTTCCTGCCCATCAAATCGTAGTCGTTGAGGTTGCGCACGGCCGAGGCTGCGGCGTCAGCGTCGGCGAACTCTGCGAACCCAAAGCCCTTGGGGCGCCCGGTTTCCTTGTCGTACACCAAGCGAAAGTTGAGCACCTGTCCGACGCGCCCGAGGGTTTCGATGATGAGCTCTTCAGTGCCGCCTGGGTTTATTAGCTCTGTTCAGGATTACAGTGGTGTTAAAGAGGCAGGTTTGGAAGATCTGGCGTCAATGTAGGCGCCAGGGTGAGCAGTCGCATACCGTAGGGAATGTTGCCGATGAAAACAACTCTGCCCGCTTTGTCGTTGGGCGCCATCGCTTTGCAGACTCGATATTGATGAAGAGATCGCTGGAAGGTACACGGTGAAAGAGGGTCGGGATATCGCGGGAGATCGAGTGAGTGTTTCTTTGAGGCTTCGAAGGTTCCGCGAGGCATGAGCTTTGGACCGTGACTAGCGCGACTCTGGGCTTGGCGCGTCTTACCTGCTGAGCAGGCACACGACCAACTCTTCCCTTCCAAGGTTGGACATGGTTCGTCCACAATTTGAGCGCATTTTACTATATTGACATTCTTTTTCATGCTCGTAGCTTTGCATCGATATCAATCTTGGCTCTGGACGATCGCATGGTATCTCACAAATGATTTTCGCAATGTTTCGTGATGATGTTCAATTGGTGAAAACTACAACTCTACAACTTCGCCGCCGACGGCGCACAACACGTACCGTCCTCACCAATCGTCGCAGTAACACTAGGCTGCTGGTGCTGCTCGCTCAACAAGCTGCTCTTGTTAAACGCCTGCTCACTCGGCGGTACATCCAGCGCAGGGTTCTTATCGAAGAAGTTGACTGGCTTCATATGGATCTTGATGATCTCGCAAGGCATAACGGGGAAGTCCTCAATACGAGGCACGTGGTTGATGCCCGCTTGGATGTAGACGACAAAGTCCGTGTCTTTGACGTTGTCGTTCCTCTCCGCCCAACTCCGCACTCCCGTTCCACCACGACTCTGGTTGGTGTAGGTACCGCCTGCGTACAACTCGCCGTCCTTGTGCTTGACGACGTAGATGTTGTGGTCGGAGAATTCGGCGCGCTTGTAGTTGAAAGAGTCCTTGTCGGAAAGGATCTTTTGGAACGGCGGCGCTTGGATCTTGTATGCGACTGGCTTTCCGTTGATGGGATTTCGCACGTTCGGGTTTTGGATCTTGAAAGTGCGGTTGTTCTCGTATGCGATATCGTAGCCGCCAGACTTGTCTACAACGGTCTCTTGGACGTAGTAGCCAGTACCGTGGGGGTTGAAGTCTGAGCGCGGCATCGGGAACGCCTCGTCGTACACGAGTCTGTTGTCATACCCGTCTATCATGGGGTCGACGCGCAATGAGAAGATGTGTTGGTGATGGACGGCAAGTACACCGGGGTGCACGACTGTACCAAAGGGAACCTCAACACCTTCGTCGATAGGCTGCGTGCTCAGGATGCCAGTAGCCCTGATCTCGTAATCGACTTCTCCTGCCTGGTTGAAGATGAAGGCTAGGATGTACTCGTAGTTGGCTACGGTGATGATGCTCTGGAGCACCAATTCCCGGTTTCGAGCGACAACTGCGCGGCCGGTGCGGTAGTTGGTGTGTTTGAAACCGATTCCAGCATCTTGCTCGTGGACGCATACAACGTTGGGCATCTCCACAGACCCACCGTGGTTGTCGGCGAGTACGGCTGAGAGATAGTAGATGGAGCCTAGACAGTCGCAGCCCAGCTTGAGGTTGTTCGCCATGATACCAGCACCAACATCACCCAAGTCGAAGGCGCTCTTCTTGTGGTAGGGATGACGAGGGTCCGCGTACGGAATGTTCATGTCTGAAAGGCTCATCCGGTAGAACAAGCTGCGGTTGTCGTAACGGACATCGTACAGTACCATACCTTCACGCTGGTTGAAACCAACGCGGAAGTTCCATCTCTGCCATGAGATGACATTTGATGTGCCTTGCTGTTCGACTTGGAAGCTAGCACCTTCTGGCTGGACAACGTTAAGCGGCTTAAGATCGGTCCGCAGTTGTTGGGCCTCGGGTATGTACTCGTTGGGCGGTTGGATCTTGTACTTTTCAACCGGCTTGATGGTGTTGTCTGCACCAGTCGGTAGTATATCAACGCGAATGACCTCCATCTTCTCTGTGCTCACCACGGGCGAGATAGGTAGCGGCATTGCGTAGTGGTTGGAGTCGGCTTCTGATGAGTTCATCGGGTCCCTGAGGTATAGGAAGCATTGCCACAGCCTATCTTCGTCTCCAACGCCGTCGGACCCGTAGATCCATGGGTCGCTGATTACTACTGTGCCTTGGGGGAGCTCGAGCTTGGCAATCTCCGCTTGTACTTTCTCATCGGTCAGGACAAGTTTCTCGATAGCGACGATTTCATCGCCATCCGCGTTGGCATGGACAAAGGGCCCTAGAAGGACGTTGCGATCTACGCGACGTGAGGTCAAGTCCACAACCGCCTCGTGAAATTTGTTCTGCCGACTGATTAGCCGCGAATCATATTTCCAACCTCTTTGCACATACAGTGTTCCGGATGTAGTAATTGACAAAAGCTTTTCTCGCGATTGATGGAAGTGGCTTGCCGCTATGCTCAGCCTCCAGATATTTCAGTGCCTCGACTTTTGGTGGTTCTTGCAGCGTCACGACCTTGAAGTGCAGGTCTGTGTGCGCTGGCCATGAAGCTTTGATGATTGCCGCAGCATCTTGAAGTTCTGATGCCGATAGCGGGGAGAATGGATGGGCAGATACCGATTTCTCGCTCCGCGGACTAGGATCAGTGGCGAGCTCTGCAGACATTTTCTTGAGTTGTACAATTGGGAAAACACCGAACTGATGAAGAGATGAAAGACGGACAGTGGAAGAGGTTGACTCTGGAGGGATGGATTATAACGCTCGAACTGCCGCCCAACGCTGTTGCCCTAACACGACATCCGATGTGATAAGACTGTGGATCTGGCGTATCTTCTTACAGTTTTCGCATGGACTTTCCGTGTCAGTACTAGGCGTGTGTCGATGGCGACGCGACGTGTAACGGGATCACGTGTCGTACCCCGCTTCCCGAGGTCCCAACCTTCCAGCTTTGGAAGCAGGAAGGTTGCCCCCATGCTCCCACTCAACGTGGCAAGCTTCCAGCAAATACTCTCCAGCTGTGCGATCCGGGCCTCATGCGACTTTACTTGGTCCGATAACGACATTCCAGGCAAGTATGTTGAATGAAGCTCTACCAAGGCATCTAGCGCTGTCGCGGAAGCCAGGTAAACCTAGGAACCACAGGCGCGTATCTCCAAGATATTTCGACGCTGATGCGTTACCTTGCTTGATACATAGGGGTAAAAATCCTATTTACAGCACTTTTGACATAGCCTGTACGGCGCAGCGAGATTCCGTACCTGGCTTGCGCGACAGAGTGGTGTTCGCAGGGGACTGGGCCTCACCAAACGCGCCTGCTTGACTGCTCCGGTGACGCGCCATCACCTGTAACTTCTTCAGCACCACAAGCATCAAAATGCTGGAGATCTGCTGTTTCTCGCAACGAAAGGAACAGAGTACGCGATAACGGACCTGGGAACTCACGTCTAGAGAACTCACATCCACGCTGCCGAACTGGCACAGGAAGAGCGGGCCCTACTCCAGATCCACAGGGCAAGCGAGCAACCCTTTGATTTCCAGAGTTGCTTTTGTCCAAGTTCGCGACAAGAGATGGGAAATTGACCAGCCACCCGCCACATCGATTGCTCGATCGAACTCGAAGAGACGATGGCGCCTGCATATGCAAGACCTTGGCACAAAAACCTTTCGGCAACAGTAATATACAAGTTTCCAGGTGCCTGTTTCAAGCGATAGAGGTTGTGGCAATCATCGCCTCGTTTGTCGTTCGACAGCCCGTTGCGTCAACCGCATGACTCGGCATGAAACATCTACGCCGTTGCGAGTCGTTCGCACAAACAACAACACCTCAGACGTTCAGACAAGACTCATATTTTGCCGTAGTGCACCGGTGTACATGTGCGACAACCAGTTTCGGTGGACATTACGAATCGGTGTTGTTTCCTTTTTCTTCACATCGCCTCAAGTTCCGCCCTAGCTTGGACCGTGGTGATTAAAAACATATTACCCCAGATATTAATCTATCCTAGGCGTCCAGTGTCGTACAGTTCCAGCGAATGCGCCAGTCTCTAGCTCCGACGGATAGAACCCACCGTCGTCGGCACATGCGCTTTTCCTATTCGTCGGGTATGCACATTTCGTGCATGCATGACCAATGACCTGCAGTCCTGCATGTCAAGCCCCCATACTCGCGATATTACCTGCCATACCATCACTTGTTCGCCTCGTCGAAGGCTGTCACAAGGTCGTTCCAGAAGGAAAATTCTACGAACTGCCACCGGCAATGAGTATCCACACTCCACCTCACGTCCCGGGTTCTTTGCCGCCCTGCGGTACCCATCGTGCCTGTCCTGTGACGTTTCTTCATTTCGAGTTTCATGCTTGGGCCAATCATGGCTTGACGTTTACACTCTCTGGTCATGTCCTGCGTGCTGCAATATGGAGTGGTATCCATTCGAGGCGTTGTATCTGTGAGGAAGAACATATATAAGAACCGGGGACTTTGCTCTCGTATTCTCTACCACGATCATCAGTACCTTCGAGTTCATTCGCTATCCTCATCAGTCTCTCACTTACCAATCTCACATTATGAAGTGTGTTGCTATCGCCACCGCCGTTGCGGCCTTTGCCAACGTTGCCTCGGGTCACTGTATGGCACTTCACCACTCATTCTGCACCAGCATATACTAACAGGTACAAGACATCTTCCAACAGCTCACTGCCAACGGTGTGAAGGGTGCCAACTTCCAGAACATCAGGCCCGTTCCCAACAACAGCCCTGTCACCGACCTTGCGGACAAGAACTTGCGATGCAATGCTGGCGGTAACTCGGGCAGCGGCACCACCACTGTCTCGGTCGCTGCTGGCTCCACCGTCTCCTTCACCGCCGACCAGGCTGTCTACCACCAAGGTCCCGTTACCTTCTACATGACCAAGGTCGACTCTGCTGCCGCTGCAGATGGCTCCTCCGACTGGTTCAAGATCAAGGAGATTGGACCCACCTTCTCCGGAGGCCAGGCCAAGTGGGACATGAGTGGTAAGTCACAAACTCCAATCTCGCACTGGAATGTATCTAACACTTCCTTAGCTACCTACTCCACCACTATCCCCTCCCAGATCCCCGCTGGAGAGTACCTCCTCCGCATCGAGCAGCTCGGTATCCACAACCCCGGCAGCCCGCCCCAGTTCTACATCTCTTGCGCTCAGGTCAAGGTCACTGGCGGCGGCTCCGGAAAGCCCTCTCCCACTACTAAGATCCCCGGCCACGTCAAGAGCACTGACTCTGGCTACACCGCGAACATCTACGCCAACTTCAACTCCTACACTGTTCCCGGTCCCAAGGTCGCCACCTACTAGACGTAGGTAGATCTGGATATGCGATGGATTGGGCGCTAGGATCGTCTTCTCGCAATCACGTTGAAGCTTGATGTGCTTCATTCTACTTCTATGTATATACCTATAGCATGAACTCTGCACATATTGTTGCAATTCTCCGATCTTGTTTACCCTTTGCTACTGTGTATGTTAATCATGTGCCACTCATAAAATCATCGAGGCCTTGGTATCTGGAAAACATGCACTTTCTCATTATAGACCTTACGAGTTTCCGCCGTAAACTATATAACCCACTTTCTCCACCATGAGAGATTCTGTTCCACTGAAACCAAAATCTCCGCCTTGTCATGGTCAACATCCGCAATCTCCGATAGATCAACATCTTGCAAAGCAGTGATGCCTGACCTCGCGTAGCAGAACCCAGCAACCCACAGAAAGATGAAGATGGCTATATCGACGTAATACGTGAGAAAGGTGCCCACGCTCCAACGACCTGGGAAGAAGACGCTGTAGCCTGAGAACAAGATGACAAGGACGAGCGCCCCACCGGTGACCCAGGCGAGGTATGGCTGTAAGGGGCTCTTGTATGCGAGACCTAGTAGTATCAGCACAGTCTTCGGCAGAAACAGAGGGGTGAACTTACGGTCTCGGCTGATACCCTGCACCTTTAATGCGTAGTAGAACCTCAGGTACGTGACCTCGATGACAAGCCACCCAATCAGTCCAGCAATGGTTGTAATGTTGACAAACCACCCGAACACCACGGATGAGTTGCTCCCCAGACTAAGATAGACAAGTGGCATAAAAATGAGCGACGCTCCGATCGCCAAGTATGGTGTTCCGAACCGGTTTGTGCGAAGCAAGACGCGGGGAGCCTGTCCGTCCTCTGCTAGCCCGTACAGGGTACGTGATGCAAGGAAGACGCATGCAGAGCCACAGCTGAAGGCCGAAGTGCAAACGATGGCGTTGATGATCGAGGGCAGAACGTTGATACCTGCGCGCTGGAACGCAATGACAAAAGGACTCTGCTGAGCATCACCAGTAGAGATGCCAAGATTCGGGTCGTTGAATGGTACAAGCATGCCAACGATGAAGATGCTGACAACATAGAAGATAAGTACTCTCCAGAACGTCATCCGAATAGCGTTCGGGATAATGACTCTTGGGTTCCTTGTCTCGGCGCCAGCGATGGCGACCACCTGGATGTTCGCGTAGCTGTAGGCTGCGGAGATCAAGGAGCTCCAGAAACCTAGAAATTTGCCAGTGTTGCCAGGGACGATGTATTCGTTGAAAGGACCGGGGTTCTTCCAGTACCGAAAGCCGATTCGATCTCCACTAGGGGATCCTCCAAGGTCGACAACTAGGCCGGCGATGATGAGACCTATGATGAGGAGGATCTTGAGAGCTGCGAAGAAGACCTCGCTCTTTGAATTGTCAGATATATGAGCCAAAAGTAGGTTGCGTCAGGACTCACCTCGCCATAAACCTTCACTCCGCAGAAGTTGATGATCACGATGATCACAATAAACACCGAGTACCAAACAGCAGGGTTAATGCTGTTGTCCCAGAAGTTGATCAAGGTTGCCGCAGCGGCGAGCTCAGCTGGCGCTGTAATTGCCATGGTGTACCAAAAGTTCCATCCGGTTGCGATGCCGAGTGCAGGTTGCACGAACTTCGTGGCATGGCGGACAAATCCTCCAGTGACAGGCATGAACGCCGACATCTCTCCTGCAGACAAGGCGACACCGCATGCAATCAAGCCCATGCACAGATATCCGAAGAGAGCGCCGACTGGACCTGCGGTAGCGATGGCCTGGCCGGATGCTAAGAAAAGTCCGGTACCCTAAAGTTGATGCATGAGTATGGCGATTACAAGAATGCTTTGAAGTGTTTGACATACGATCATGCCAGCTATGGCAATCATGTTGATATGGCGACGCCCAAGGTCGCGTTTGACCTCATAAGTCGTACCGATGGCTCCATGTTCGACGTCTGAATTTGACGCAGAAGTTTGCGCAAATTGCGTAGCATCCTTCTTTGATAGATCCATGATGATGCTCTCTCAGCATGGGAGCGCGCAACGGTTCTTACAAGTACCAAGCCGAAGCGGGAAGCTTATCTCACTAAGCAGTTCGGCATCTACGGGGGATTCAGTGACTCCGTAACCGTTGATAGCGGGGTTCTAGTTTCTGATAGGGGCTGGTCAGGGCGCCCGAAAACCGGCGATCGTGCTGGGGTGTCATGAAATGCCGGCTGCTATCTGTCATGCTTAGAACGCCGGTGGCCCCACCCTTCTCCAAACGGGGAGTCAATAGAAACCAAGAAGAGACGGGATGAGCGTGCAAAACATCAGCAACGCAACTTTCCAAAGGCAACAGAATGTCATCGGCCAAGGACGACTCTTTTCAATTGTACGACTTGCGGGTTGAGGTGGTTTGTCCGCCAGGCGAGCGCATCTTGTGTGGAGCCAAGGAAGGAGACTACTTTACTGTTCAAGGAGAGATACTACGTCTTCCCGAAGGACAGGGCATAAGCTTCTACAGCTTAGGTGAGTTTCAAGCACAGAAACTGTACACTTCAAGAACTGATGAGATTGGCATTTCAGCGGCAGTACTGCCTCTGCTAGCGGCCAAGCAACGACCAACTCACGCGCATGATTGGATGTCCACGGATGCATTGATCGCATGTCCGGATCCGAATTGTAAATCTCAGCTTAAGATCATACGAACCGGGTTACGGACCTTCAGTCATGCGGATACCACGGTGGTTGGTCTGGAAGGAAACTCTTGAGCTTTGGAGTGAGATGTACGCATGACATATCCGTTTCCCGTGCTTCACTCGGCGCATCGACTATCACGAGATGGTCTTGGGAGCCTTGGCGGGGATGTGTGTGTAGGTGTAAGGGCCTCAAGCGCACGCCGAGCATATGTTCGTAGACGAGTTGTTGCGCTCAACACAGTCGCGATATCGATATTTCCAGCTTTTGAAGCGTCGCGGCGTCACTAGAGGCTGCAAACAGCTCTCCAGATAGTCCCAAATGAATGTGACCAGTATGATCACCGTACCCATCATCGTCTCCATCGTTATGCTAAGAGCTGGTGAACCAGCCCACCATGCCCTCAATCGCGCGACGATGTTTGTATCTCGCGGCATATCCAGGACATGGAAGTGACACGTGTGTATTAGCTCGGTAGCCTGGGTCGTGAGAATTGGGAGCGACGGTGCGGCGATGGACGCTGAGGCGATGGCAAAGACAGGCGCGTGGTGCGGGCATGATGCGCGTGTTTGGCGGTGACGTCAGCCGTGGCAGCCGATGTAGGCGCTTGCGAGCGTATGCCAGTTGCTGATATTTCGAAACCCGCAAGGCGTCCGTACAGGAGAGGACTGGGTTCGCATGAGCATGAGAGGCGGCCGCGTGGACAGGGAGAGTTCGTACAGAGCTGGCACATGAAGATGAGGCGAGCGCACGGGCGGGCTGGAATGACGCGACGCGCCTGTGATCACAACCAAACCATATTGCTGACGAAGGCTTACCAGCTATTCTGGGACCTACTCGAAAATCGTTCAATGTACAAGCCAGGCGAATAATTCAACAGTTCTCTTCTACCTGTATTCACTCCCGCAATCACCCATGACCTTGAACACTTCCTCCCTCCTGCTCTTCTCCAGCACATCTTCAATACTCCGCTGATCTTCTTCATCAAGCTTCCATCCATACGTCTTCAGGTTCTCCTCCGTATGCTCACTAACGCCCATGCGTGCGCCAATGATGATGGCCCCCACGTATGGGAAGTCGAGAACCCATCTCGTCGCGACGTTCGAGATGGAGACATTGTGTTTGGTCGCAATAGCCTTCAGAGTCTGCAGTAATGTCTGGAACAGATCCCAATCACCCCATGTCTGGATCATCTCGAAGTACTTCCGCTGCGATGGTGTTGTATCGGGGCCAAACAGCTGTGGCTCAGGTTTGCCGAGCCACTTCTCAGCAAGAAAGCCTCCACACAAAGTGCCATATGTAAGGAGCTTCACGTTGTGTCTCGTGCAGACCTCGCCCATCCCAAACCGTGGGCGTGCATCGATAAGGGAAAATTGGACCTGGTTGGTGACGACATCGATGTTATTGTCAACGACTTCTTGGAGACGCGCTGTGTCGAAGTTGCAAAGGCCCAGATGTCGAACTCGTTCGTCTTGCTGCAACAGTCGTAGCGCTTCGATGTACTGGTGGTCGTTGTAATCTTGCCAATGGAATTGCAGAAGATCGACCTTGTTGGCGCTCATGCGCTGGCACCGCTCTGTGACGTTGGCGCCGATGACTTCGGGGGTTACGGTAATCTTGTGGAATACACAGTACTTCGTGGCACCGAAAACGGCCTCAGGTTCAGCTAGCGAGGCTCTCAGGCGTCCGAATATAACCTCGGCATCGCCGTAATGGTCAGCCATGTCGAAGGCAGTGAAGCCACCTGCAATGTACTCTGCAAATTGCTTGAACATTTGTGTTTGTGACGCAGTACCCCATGATGGACTAGACAGTTGCCACAGGCCCGCGAACAGCTTCGGCAGCTCGATACCCTTGACTTTGAAAGTCTCGATAGAGGTTGATGTCTTCCGTCCGGTAATTTGACTTTCGCAAGAGCTATTCTGATGAACCAGTGTCGGTATACCGCTTTCGCGGCCAAGCATAGTCGCAAGAACTGCAGTGCTTCGTTCGAAAGGAAAGTCTTGCGCAGATGCAAGCCATCTTTGGTGACATCGTAGCAATGAAGTGAAGAGCGAGTCCATCACCGGTCTCTCCTCTTCGTTGAGGTCTCTGCTGCCACTATCGGACAACAAGCGCTTTTGAATCGCAGTCAAGGCCTGCACGATGTCACCGTCGACAGAGGCTAAACTGTGGTTGAGTTCTGTCGACCGAGGCACGGTGTTTTCATCGACAAGGCTGACGGATTCGTCTACGATCTTATTGAGTATTGGGAAGCTGTCGAGAACCAATCCACATCCTATGGCGCAACGTAGGCGCTGCTGGGCCCATGTGAAGTTCGAGGTTGAGGCAACCCCCTCGGTCGTCGATTGAAACAGCTGATCGACGGGCTGATTGGCGGTCTTCTTGAGATAGATCCGCGTCTGTTCTTCTAGGATGCTTGTAACTGATGGCTCCGTTGTCAAGATGACTCTGATCACACTTCGAAGTGCATCTGCCGGTAGGTTTGCTATGATGGTATCGGTCATCATGTTGACGTGCGCCGTCTTGGCCTTCGAACGTGGTATTTGCGTCATGTTGCTAGTTGCGTAGTATCTGGATGTGCGTTGAGTTGATGTTGACTTGAACTACCAAGGTATTCAGGAAAAACCTATGCGATAGTATGGTGCATGGATGCATAAGGTCATGAGGGCACGTACCATGTCGCCGGCGACTCAGTCTACATTAGAACACCGGCGATCTGCACGAATGATAGAAGTGGACCGAAGTGGCAGCATAGTGCTGAGACCGGTTTGAAAGAGCCGTGCGGGGTCCGCGGTTCCGAGATGTTCGTATCGCTGCAAGAGCTTTGTAAGTGGGCGTCGAGCTTTCCCCTTGAATGCCGTGGAGGGAAAACGATGGGAGCAGGTGTCATGTCAGAAAGGACCTCGGGAAGGCTTCCAAAGCGGTTAGCGTACGAAGATAGCGATAAGACACCTGGATGCCTTACTCCTTCCAACAATGCACTACGCAAATATTACTATTGTGTCCATTCTAGTCCGATCTCATCTCAATGTCTGATAAACATACTCAAGATGACAGAGGGTGATGACGCGCCCGTTCGCCAACCTGCGAAAGCCGTGTGAGTCCGCTCCGGGTCGACTGCAATTGCGCGACTGATCTGTTTGAAGACCACACGCTTGCCTGCAATGTCGCAAGGTCAAGATGAAGTGCCACAAGACGGCGCAAGATACACAGTGCGTGAGGTGTACGCGCAAATCGTTGCAGTGTGACTTTCTTGGCCACCGGCGCGGTCGAAAGCACGGCTTCAAGTTTGTCAATCCTACTTTTTCCATGCGATAGGAAATGGCTGATGTGATTTGTAGATTGCAGAAACCAAGCTCAACAGGTCAAGACAATGCTGCGACGACATCATGGAACAGCGAAGCTCAACATGTTGACCATGACGGTGTTGTAGCGGGTGATGCGGATACATTGGCAGGTACACATTGCGCCCAAAGATCAGCTCCTAGACTGCGTTCTCAACCCCAGTCAGCCCAGCGTTCAAGCCAAGATTTCTGGACGGAGAGCAGAGGCTTTCGGCTTTCTGATATACTCAACCGACAGATCACAAGAGGAGATTTCTCTTTGCAGAATGTACTAAGTACTGAACACGGGCATGCGTCCGAAGAATGCACAGAGGACACCTCAGACAATGATCCGGTTATCAAAGGAGTAGTCAACCTTCATTTTGCTATGGAGCTATTCGCTGGATTCATGAAGCACCTCAACCCCTTCATCAGTCAACTGGACCCTTCGCTGCATACCTTTCAGTACGTCCGGGAGAAGTCCTCATTTCTATTCACTGCCATTCTGGCGGCAGCGGCAAAGCTGTTACATCCTGCGCTGCGAAAAGATTTGCTTTCTCACGCCGAAGAGCTTTTTCTAGAGAGCTTTCGCCGCGGTGCAAAATCTGTTGAGACGGTCCAAGCCATATTAATCCTGACATATTGGAAAGAGCCCCGTGATAATCGTGCATGGTTAAATGTAGGCTATGCCATCAGGATGGCCATTGAGCTTAGTTGGCATCATCTTGGAACCGATGGCATGAGACCTTCAGAGAACCTGTCTGATTACCAGGCGATGCAGTTCAGAAACATAGAAAGGACCTGGCTAGTGCTATTTGTCTATGACAGGAGGTAGGGATAAGGTGCTGTCGACCTTATCACAAGATACTGACATGCGTACAGCATCAGTTTGCAGACCGGCAAGCCTTGGATGATCGAAAGGAGCAACTATTTGGAATCAGTGAGCAACTGGTACTTACATCCTCTTGAAATGGCCAACGACCGGCTACTTTGCGCATTTGTATCCCTTCGCCTCATCACGTCCACCCACTGTGAGATGATGACGACACAATATGCTCAACAGCAACGGCACGAAGCGTCGCGCTATCGATCCACGCTACGTATGGTTGATGCAGAAATTGTGAATTGGCAAGAGAGGTGGACTGGGAAAGTATCTGAGCGAGGCGAGGACTGTCATGTAAGTAAGATCCATGCAAGAACTGATGCGAGAAGTGTACTGACTTCGCCCACCATTTCTTAGTCATTTCTGATCCCGTTCTATGGCAGCTACGCGCGACTACTCTTATACACTTCCTCACTACGCGCATCCATCAAATTGAAGGATATTGTGACTTCTGTCGATACAGAAGCTATCTGGAACAGCTACTCGAGCGCACTTGACATGCTTAAACTCGTTTCTGAAACTTCGGCATCTCAACTATTGTACTTTGCTCAGGACAGTGTGCATGTCATGATCGCCTATGCCGCAGTATTCCTCATCAAGGTATTTCATAACTTGCCTTTATAAAGCCAACTACTTACATTAAATATAGCTCTTACTTTCAGCACCATCATATATTCGGTCCGAGATGGAAATGCCAGCGCTGGATAGCATTCGCAATGCTGCGACAGTATTCGAGAAACTCCAAGCGCCAACCAGCACAAGCTGCGCATTGCAAGCAGCGTTCTTGCGCAATGTTTCCACTCAGCACGAAGCAATGCAGGCGCGTCATTCATCTTCGCTTTCGCACGTAGCGGCCGCGTCCGCT